TGAATCTTCCACGTCCACGACCACGTTGTGGATGATTTCCTCTAGCCATGAAGACTTGTGCTTGCATGGTATTTTAGGGTTTTCCTTGGTCACATTCTTGAATTTTTTGCGTGGCGTCACTTGTTTTGTCAAATTTTCCGGCTCGTATAGGCACTAGGAATGAGCTTTTCCAAATTTTTGGGAAGGTTCCAGATTCATATTAAAAAGCCAAAACATTGGAGCAGTGAGTTCCATTGCTAGACATTTAATAAATACTGGAGGAATTCCGTCAGGTCCAGGACCTTTTGAGGCATCTAAGTTTTTTAAAGCCTGCAAAATATCCTGCATTGATTGAGGCCAATGTCCCTTGAAAATTCTGGAAAAAAAATGCAATATAAATAACGGTCGCGATCTTCTTCAGAAAATGTCGCATAGATTTCTTAAGAAAAATTGCAAATAGATTGCAGTTTTTTTCCGAGCTATCACCGACATTTTCGTCGAGATGCATTATTGATGTATGTCAGATTTTAATTTGGTTTTTACGTAAAACTTCTTCAAAGAACTTCTTTAGGACAGGACTTTATTTCATGTTTTGTTTTGCATTATATTCTTCAAATGTAGTACTGATAGCTAAATTCACTTGATCGCAAATATCCAAATAAATTAATAAATTATTACTACTATTGTGTTATTTTATAAATTTTATGTTTTTTTTTATGATTTTGGAAAAAAGTACTTTTTTCAATAATTCATAACATTTTTGGTTAAGAATTGCCCAGCAAATACAAATTGTCAGTGGGTAGCACTTTATCTAAACAACAATATAAATAATAAAAAAATTAAAAACTGCATTTTGAGTAAAATTATTTATTTTTCTATAATTTGGATTTTTTTTAAAGAATAATATAATTGTGTACAGTGTATATTTTTTTATTGAAAGGCACAATACTTGTCCGCAATTTCACCGAAGACACCATCTCCATAAACGGCGATATTCAAAATTCTGATTTGGTCACTCATTTGAGCTAACAGTCATCGCCAAGTGTAGACCAATAGACTCATTTCAACGGGATCGGAAAATGTTTCTGTATGTATGTATGTATGTATGTATGTATGTATGTATGTATGTATGTATGTATGTATGTTTGTATGTATATAAGATAACTCAGGGTGTGGGGATGGGAGAAGTAGCGCTCCCGACCCTCTTACCCTGTGCTCTTGGCCCTTGCCCTCCCCGGAACCGCCCGAAAGCATTACATCATGGGAGGGAGCCGGTTGTGCTATGGCGCATCACACTTGTGGTGTGTTACAGACGTGACACTTGCTACTGCACAGTGAGCAGCTGTGCAGGGCCTTCCTCTTATTGTTCGCTGTTAATTGTTCGCCTGAGTTCTAGAGCAGACGTGAGAGCCAGCCAACTGTCCACGGCAGGACAGGACAGATGTGACCGCTTACCAGCTGCGTGTGCTGCGACTTGATCAGAGTCGTCTACACTTTAAGAACCAGGTGTCACTCCTGCCTTTGCACAACGAGGGTTTGTGCAGGGCTTTTCGACCTCGTGGGACGAGCTGGATGGGGCTCCAGCGTCCTTACTCTGCTGTAGTTCGTTTATCCGCAATGTCTCTCCCTTGGGTTCGATAATTAGCGTTTCCAGGGCACACCACGAGGAGGCGAACTACTTCATGCCCCAATGTATGTATGTATGTATGAGTATGTTAGTTTGTATGACTGTGTTTTAGATCCCCATAGATCGCTATTGATTTTTGTCCCGATCAGATTTATGGTTCCGAAGATATGAACAAAAATGTGAATTCCAGATTCCACTGCAGAATTCGCAAAAGATTGCTATATCAAAAACTCATCATGCGACACCTCAAATCACATTAAAATTTTACTATAAGATCAATGGTGGATATATTCAGACCCAATGATCACAATGGCCTCTTTCAGATGTACCGCAATAGCATAGCAAATTTTTAGCGATGGGCCCAACCTTAGATCCTTAGGGCAACATTGGAGCCATTTCCCCTATGTGACGCTCCGTTTATGTGCATCCTATTGAACAGAAATGTACACTAATTTTTCGAACTGATTTACAGCAATTGGTTTCCCGGATAAAAATAACCATAAAATTACAATAAAATATCAATAAAATACAACAGATTCTATTGTTGACAATTAATCTTATTGTAAATCTATTGTATTGGTCAAATAATCCAACAGTCACCACAATAGGTTTACAACAAATTCTATGAAACAAAATTTTGCACAATAAAAAAATAATAAAATTTATTGTAATGAGATAAATTTGTTCGAGATTTTTTTTTATTTTTTATGGTTACGGCAACTAACAACCCCCCTTTTCTATTGTAAATGTCTCATTAACAATATATTATATTGTACATAACAATAAGTTCTTTTGTATTTTTATTATTTTTGACAATAACATTTATTGTTGATACAGTAGGCTTTATTGCATTGTAACAATTAATTCTATTATTTTTGGATGGTAAATTTTTATTCGGGTTTCCTTTAGCATCATACGGCAACCAACTGATAGGTTTCATTATCAAAAACAAATAACAAAATACACAGATTTGTACCAACCGTCATCAGAGCATCCAAACTAACAATTTTCGCAATGTAAACGCTTTGCTCATTTCATTTATACAGCCACAAGCTATATGCAAATGTTATACGATATGAGGAAACCTTTACTCAACCTCTTTACAAGCAAATCTGGCGAACTTAGTTAGCTACTTATGGCTATTGTGATGGTTGGGACAAGCTCTTATTGCATATCTATTTACGCTTCTATACAGCTGTTATCCTACTGTTTATTTGTGTGTGAACTTGAAAGGCGCTTACTCAACCTTTACCCGATTATCCAATAATTACTACACAGCTTTCTCTTAACGCCAGGTTAAATATTTTTTACGCTTTTTTTTGTTGGAGGAATTTATCATGTTTATTTTACTGTGAATTAAATTAATCGAAATTATTTATCAGCAAACCACCAAATTATTTTCACTGTACCTGAACCTGGAATCGAACTCGAGACGACCGTATTGGCGAACCTTGATACTACCAACTTCGCTACGCCAACACCTTGAACTGATGTAAACAAATTCACATGCCTTTCTACAACAAGATTGCTTAGCCTTTATAATAGTGCACATGAATCACTTTTCTCGACTAGTCAATTCAGCTTTGTAAAGAAGCAGAGTAAAAGCTGTAAAACTGCACAAGTCTAAAAATAAACCTAGTTGACTGTAAAATAGCTTCCAAAGTAGCGCTACACAGTGAATTAGTTGAGTAAAGGTTGTTTAGTTGTTGAAAAAGCACTTTTGCTGTTTATGTTATTGAGTACGAGTTGTTGGTTGCTGAGAAGCCATCAAGTAAGTTATATATTCGCTTTATTAGCTTTGTTTTGAAGCTAAAAATTGAAAGTTGATTAATAGTTGCAAAGAAGTTACATTAGCACAAATGTATAATGGTTGTGAAAAAGTTGAGTTAACGCTCTCCAAAACTATTTTGCAAGCTTCTGCTTGTAGCTGTATCTACAGCTTTGTTTCAGCTACTTTACAGCACAACGCTGGAAAGGTTGGCCTATAATGCTGAAAATGTTAGTTGGGATGACTTATAAATTGAACAACCGAACCGCCGAAAACATTACAGTCCACAAGAAAGTGATTGGACCGGGATCATAGCATACACACTGCGGGAGTACAGTATTTCTCCTATATTATCCGGTCCCATGAATAATACCATCGGATGTGTGTATGGGAATGAAGTACGGATCTGGAGTTGGACAGGTACCGAAGTGAGGCGTGCAATATGACTCCCTAGATGGTGCACAATACTCAATTTAAACTTCTAATCAACTTTCACACTGCCGTACTCTAATAAACATATCAATCTATTCTCGTCAGAACTTTTCCAGCTAACAAATTATCGCACTAAAGCTTCATGTTGATATTAGTATAGCATTTCTTCCCACCTCTGAAAATATTAAACTTCCCGTATAAAGTAACAAAACACTTTGATTGAATAGAATCAACCTGTTTATTTATTTGAACCTGATGAGCGCAACCAATTTTAAACCTGATGAGTGCAGAACATTTTTCATAGAACATTTGTAAGCGGAATATTTTTCAACTGCTTTCTCTTGAATTTGTAATATGTCAATTCCATTTTTAAAGGCGCTGCTGATTGAACTTATGTTATGTTCAGTATATTTGCAACGCAATTTTGCTGATATTAGTGCACAGTAATTCGAAACATCCCTTATGCATTTTGGTGCACAGTTTTTATAAGTTTTTTCTGCGGCCAATTAGAATTGAATGAATAAAATAAACAAATCGATTTTCGGAGCTAATTACTCATGGAGTAACCATGAGTAACCACAATGACAGACCCGGGTACAAAGCTACCAGAAATGGCATGAAATCATATTTCCTATAGGAACCATAGGACATAAAACAATAAGCACAGATTGCAAGTGAATGGAATGGAATCGTTACATTTTCTGACTCAAAAGCGCTTTGGTTGTCCGGAAATGGTCCTGCTACGACAATACATTATGACTGATGATATTGATAAAATGTAGAATACTGAAAAAATCGTATGCGAAAAGATGAGAATTAATGAGAATTTGGTGCCAACAATACAGGATGCACAACAACAAAATAATCCCCTCAAGCCTGAAAAGCAAATCATCCGAAATTTTCAAATCAATTTCAACTTTTCACGTCCACAGTGCGGGTGAAGCACACTCCCTAGACTGATGCAAATTTTGAAATGTTCGCTCCACAGAACTCAAATCAGATAATCATTTAAAATTTAAACCTCATTGGCCTGACTTTGTACACTGAAACTTGATTTTAGTCAAATTAAATCACATTGAAAAAGTAACGTTCACTCAAATATACAACAATGCCAATGTTTCGTGACTGACAAGAATTATCAATTTTCAAACCAACAAACAGGGCGCTTTCTCATTCCCGTTTTCCATTTTTCAGTTACTGTGATATTCAACGTGCTGCTGCTTGCATTCGCCAGCCTTGGAGTGATTTCATCGGTTCTAGTGGTGCTCGGACTGAGAATGGTAAGTTAATTGAATCATGCTTCATTCCAGGTTTCAACCACTGACTTCCTAATTTGCGGATTGTGCAAACAATTGGCAGCTTGGCAGAGGAAAATTATCTAATAAACAGCTTTCTCCCTTTAAATCTGCATTATTAGGATTGCGGTTGCTCAGCACCAAACCTTGTATTTATCACTTCCAAACAATCTGCCATTCCGATATGAACTAAAACCATTGCACTTAGATTGACTAATAGAAACTTTTTGATTTTCTTTTCTGTTTGCTCTCCTACCCCCACATTCGCTTTCCATGAATTGCCATCCACAATGAATACCATCCCACAACGGCCCGAAGGATAAACGAGCTTTGCTGTTGCCATGGATTGTAGTGATGATTGCCAACTTGCTGGTGGAGTGTGTCTACTTCATCTATCTCATAGTGATACAGACGGTAAGTTGATGGCACTTTTTGGAGTGAGCTGCTCGGAACGGACGAGGAGCGAAAAGATGAATCGGATCCTATTAGTTACAGTTATTGCCCACCTATTTGTATAATTTGATCGAACATTGATTTCTTTGTGTCCGTCTCTTCCAGTTGCAGTTCGAACCGGTCACGGCGATGCTGTTCACTGTGGATTTCTTCATAATGTGTCTTAATGTGAGTAGATTACTTATTACGTGATGTTTAATTTCGGGCTGTCATAATCTTGGTTTGTTATTGCATTAAGTTTCATGGTTGCATTGTTGGTGGTAGATTAATCATATCATCGAATGCAAATTTTTAATAGAAAAACAAAGGTAGTAATTTTTGTAGAAAACTCACGATACTCAATGTTTGTTATTTTTGTGAGTATTATGAATAATGAAGGAAGAATTTATAGATTTTCTTATAATAAACCCGCCATCTTATTGGATTTTCCTATGTTTCGAGGGGTGAATCGACTAGCTTGGGACCGAAGAGAGTACCAGAGCTGAGCAAAAAAGTTGAACACGTTATTTCGGGACCTTCTAGTCTTAGAGTTACCTCTATGATACTATGGAGCGGACCCGGATCTCGTAGCTTCTCACCTTTTAAATGTAGAACATGTTTATTCCAGAAGATAAAAAATCTTCAAGGCTGGATTATAATAAATGGCCGCGCCCGAACACAGGTCAAGAAAGGAATGGGAAGGATTGTGTTGACATGACACTCGATTTGATGGAAGCCGAGAACACCTCTGCACTTCCACGAAGAATCACTGGGATGTTGGATAAGAGGGTTGGGTTTGCAGCAGGGTTCGTTTTGGTAAACGATAAGCTGAATTGATGTCCTAACGATTATATAACGCGAAGGAGCTTGGGACTAAACCCACGGTCTTCTGCTCAGTAAGCAAAAACGTTTGCCACTAGGCAGACGAGCACCTTTTTAATCACCGAGTTGCTGTTATTACCATGTAGTCATATTAACAAATAAAACGATTGACGAATCTTGAATGTGGATGGGCCTGAGATTAGACTCATGATGTTCTGCTCAGTAAGCAAAAACGGTTGCTCTAAGGCCACCGAGCCCCTCATATCACATAATACCGTTGCTCAAATTTGTGTATCCATTCAAACCCGGAACCAACGACAACAACGAGTTTCGCAAAATACACGATACACAAGCGATTTTACCATAAATCTCTTTGATATGTAAGGACCTGGGACCGCGTTTTTCTGCTCAGTAAGCAGGCCACTGTAACCGACGATCTTTCAAATCCGAAAACTAAAAACTACGAAAAAGTACTTAGGCCTTCATTAAGTTCCACTTTCACGCGACGTTCAATGACAGGGTCCTATCCAGGATTACATCTGAAAAATCCAAATCTGGCCAACGCCCACCTAAACCTGTTCTAATCCACCTGAAATGACTAACGAATGGAAGACTTTGACTACCCAGCCATGCAATAGTCTCATTCCGTGCCTTATGGCAACTTCTATTGCGCTCATCTTTTGGCACCACCCAGGTGAGACTTGCTCCTGTACCCAATGCTTAACTTATCTCCATTCCACTCAGCTACTCGCAATTTCTTGTGATATAGTGGGCGGAATATTATTATATGAGACAATTTAATGCAGACGTCTTTCCAAATTTGGCAGATCGACAGGTAATCGGTGAGTTCCCACGATAGTTGCTATTCAACAACTCGACAACGTCCCATCGTCAACGCCTGCTATGAGAATTTCCCATTGCAGACGCCAACGAAATGACGTCATCGAGCTATCGATCAACTACCCTGGTTATCGCCTGGTACCTTATAGCACGATGCTAGGAGGCGAACCGGAAGAATCGATGAGCTACCTCTCCCCCATTTTCATTATATTTATCCGACAATGAAAGACTTACTCCCATTCAAATATATGGATCATATAATGCTTTTAAGTTCTAGTATATTTAAACTTCTTGAGATAAAAGTATCTATAAATACACTTTCTTCTTGTGAAAAACAGTTAGAAAGATTTGTTAGAGAATTTGAGACTCCATGGGGGTGACCGCTCCCGTTATCGCTCCTGAATTGCTCACCCATATACAAGCGAAACGATCCAATCCCTCTCGCCTTCAATGACCATCTATCCTCTGCTCGGTGTGTAGCTGAGAACACAATAAGCGATGCAGCAACCTCGTTGGAAGTAGGTCACAATTCTGGATAGAGCTGGAATTAGGTCGTAACAGCTTTTGTAAACAGTGACATCTTCCGATGATTTCTAGAAAGTCAAGGCTAGCCAACGCAAATCTACATCACCATCGGGTAGAGGTTGACTTCCCCTACCCGATGGTTAAAGGGTGATACGGTCAAAATTTGGTCAAGGTAAAACGCGTGTAAATCGGTGAAATCGTTTATTTAAAAAATCAAATTAAATTTCTTTTTCAAGTTCAATTAGTATAAAATTCAGGAAAAATATTCAGTTAGGCTTCCGCTTTTCCAAATCCGAATTGCCGGGCCTTACGCTTGACCCCTGCCATCAGATTTTGTACAGCCACCTTGTCCACCTTCTTCGCCGCAGAAAGCCAGTTTGCCTTGAACTGCTGCTCGCCCTTAGCAGTTTTTTTGGTCTTCTTTAGGTTCCGCTTGACAATAGCCCAGTATTTCTCAATTGGGCGGAGCTCTGGCGTGTTGGGAGGGTTCTTGTCCTTGGGAACCACCTGCACGTTGTTGGCGGCGTACCACTCCATGGCCTTTTTACCGTAATGGCAAGATGCCAAAACAGTACGGAACAACCGTGTTTCTTCAGGAAAGGCAGCAGACGTTTATTCAAACACTCTTTCACGTAAATTTCTTGGTTGACAGTCCCGGAAGCTATGAAAATGCTGCTTTTCAAGCCACAGGTACAGATGGCTTGCCAAACCAGATATTTCTTTGCGAACTTTGACAGTTTCATGTGCTTGAAAACATCTGCTACCTTACCCCTTCCTTTTGCCGTATAAAACTCCTGTCCAGGAAGCTGCTTGTAGTCGGCTTTGACGTAGGTTTCGTCGTCCATTACCACGCAGTCAAACTTCGTCAGCATCGTCGTGTACAGCCTCCGGGATCGCGCTTTGGCCGTCGTATTTTGTTTATCATCGCGATTTGGAGTCACTACCTTCTTGTAAGTCGATAGTCCGGCTCGTTTTTTGGCTCGATGCACGGTTGTAGACGATACACCCAGCTTATTTGCGGCATCTCGGAGAGAGAGGTTAGGGTTTCGCTTGAAACTACCAGCAACTCTCTTTGTCGTCTCAGCGGCTTCCGGTTTTCGATTTCCCCCCGATCCAGACTTCCTGGCTGTCGACAAACGTTCCCCAAACACTTTAATTACATTTGTAACGGTTGATTTGGCAACTTTTAGCGATTTTGCCAACTTTGCGTGCGAGTAGCTCGGATTATCGCGATGTGCGAGCAAAATTTTGATACGCTGCTCTTCTTGCTTGGACGGCATTTTGACAACTGAAGAGTGAATTCCAAAATCAAAATAGGAGCAACATTCTACACACACACACCTTCAAAATGAGGGGTATTCAGGTTTTTTAAATGCAAAATTGAAAGAAATACGTCAAGTTGATATTGACCAAATTTTGACCGTATCACCCTTTATGTTGGTTTGCGTGGGCGTGCCTTGAATTCCTATAAATCATCGAGAGAAGTCATTGTTTACGAAAGCTGTTACGCCCTAATTCCAGCTCTATCTAGAACTGTGCATAGCCAGTACGAGGATGTAGCTAGGTTGGGCTAATGTTATTCTCAAACATTCCTCACCCACCCTGAAATTCCTAATTTCTGAAAATAAAAAAAAAATCCTTTTCTAATGGGAACGAGATGGGAAAGGATTCGGGTCTACGCTGATGATTGCTAGTTCTGGTCAACGTCTTGGATAGGCAACAACGACAGTTTGTCTAATTGACGTTTCATTATACCAGTTTCCGTTTTCAGCGTAAAAACACGCACTACTCCATCGTTTCCTGGATGCAGTTCAACGATCCGTCCCATTCGCCATTTCATCGGTGGCAGATTATCATCCCGGATTGTAATCAATTTGCCAACCTCAATATTAATTGCGGGCTTCCAGCGCTTAAAATCTGCCCTGCAACTGGCACAGATACTCCCTTCGCTACCTTCTCCAGAAATCCTGCAGCATCCGTTGGATTAGCTGGAACTTAGTCAGACGGTTCAATGCGAGGCCTTCCAGATTCGGCTCGGGGAACTGCTGTAATGAGGAGCCAATCAAGAAGTGGCTCAAAATCTGTGGGATCATCGGAAATCGGCGTTAACGGTCGTGAGTTGAGGCAACCTTCAATCTGCACCAGAAGTGTGGTCAAATCTTCGGTCGACAACGGTGTTTCTCCCACGACCTTGATCAAGTGGGTTTTAGCTGATCGTACAGTTGCCTCCCACAGTCCTCCAAAATGTGGTGCACTGGGCGGATTGAAATGCCACTGGATTCCCCTTTCTGCGCACTTATTGACGACCGCTTCTCGGTGGTCTGAGCTCCGTAACAAGTTCAAGAACTCCTGCATCTTGGTCATGGCTCCAACGAAGTTCGTCCCATTATCGGAATACAGGTCTTGACATTTTCCTCTCCTGGCAATGAAACGTCGTAGAGCTTGCCAGAGTCGGTCTGTGCTCAAGTCCGTTACCAGCTCTAGATGAACCGCTTTGGTACAAAGACAAACGAAAACTGCAACATATAGCTTGACTACCGGCCGTCGGGGAACGGGTCTCACATAAATCGGACCAAAGACACGTTGACTCTTGTAATAATTGCGGAACAGCATGCATCAGCTGCAGATGATAATGTTGGAGGACCATTCGGGTGAACTTATGCCGTGCAGGGAGCACCATCGGATGTTTCGTATTCTCTCGCTGTACAGAATGACCAAGTCGCCCTCCAATTCTAATGACGTTATCGTCGGAAATGTATGGATTAAACCATCGAAGTGGAGATCTTCTCGAAACAGCTTCCCCTTTGGAAAGTGCCTTCCACTCGTCGATGAAAAACTTCTGAGTTTGCGTCTGCTTCATGTGATTCTGTGGGTACTGATCTCATTCCTCTAAATATTTTGAAAGTGTCTTTACGTGTCACTCTACCTTACATCACAGACTTATTTAATTTTTGTATAACCACTTCAGAATTTCCATGTTCATGGAAAGTGGCTAAGATTGTTCCTATTGGTAAGGTTGACAATCCAGCTACAGAAAAGGATTATCGACCTATTAGCATACTTTGTGCTCTGTCGAAAATTTTGGAATCAATTCTATCCAAACAACTAAACGAATATCTTAATAATCATAATCTGCTATGTTCTTTACAATCTGGTTATCGTAAGAACTACAGCACAATTACAGCTCTTATAAAAATTGAAGACGATTTAAGAAATGCTCTTGATAAAAAAAAAATGTTAACCGTGATGGCGCTCTTAGATTTCAGCAAAGCTTTTGATTCAATTGATCATCGGAAACTCTGCAATAAACTCGCTAGTTGTTTTAAAATTTGAATTTAATTGAATCATATTTGGCTGGCCAATCACAGTACGTTGAATTTAATAACATGCAATCCAATTACGTGCATGTTCTGAGTGGGGTTCCTCAGGGATCATTCCTGGGACCCCTACTTTTTTTCTATGTTCATGAATGATGTATAAATATGCCCAACGTTTTATTAAATTGTAAATTTCACTTATATGCAGATGACTGCAAACTGTACATCTCTGGCAAATTGAATAATATTTCTGAAACTATATCATTATTAAATAGTGATATAGAAAACATCTTAAAATGGTGTGAAACTATTGGTCTTATTCTAAACTGAGCAAAAACACAAACTATTATTTTTAGATCAAAACGAACTGGTATTCAGGATATCCCACCCACTTTGGTGATATCATTATGTATTCTGACACAATTAAAAATCTTGGTATTGTAATGGATTGCAACCTCAACTGGAATGCTCAAGTTAATGTTGTGTGCAGCAAAGTTTATTGAAGGCTTCACTCACTAGTTTTGTTACGTCACTCCACGCCTCAACATATCAGACTTCAGCTGGCTAGATCCTTGATCGTTCCGTTATTTTTGTACGGGGATATTCCCTTTAGTTTAACTTCTAAGACAAATACAAAGAAATTGTTTTTATTATCACATTTCTAACTTTTCTAATTTATTACTCGGCTTCGATTTCATCAACTACATGAAACTTAGAATGTGTATTCAAACTTTTAAAATTTTAAACGAAAGTCCAATGTATCTTCAAAACTTCTATATTAACTCACAATCTTCTAGATCAAGTGTTTTAATCATGCCAAGATGCTCGACACATTTTTAAGTGAATCGATGCGCTATCGTTTGCTTCGATTATGGAATGAACTACCGAGGGAATGCAAGACAGCAAGAAGTTTAACAACATTCAAAAACTTATGCAGCAACTACTTCAGTTAGGTTAATAGGTACATCGGTAGTGTAATAGTAGCATATACTCTGAAAATCACTAGTAGATTACTTGTGCTATTATTCTTGTATTGTATAAATATATAAAAATAAATAAATTTTGAGAAAAAAGGTTTTTATGTTTTTATTTTTCATTACAAAACTTGATTTTTTTAGGAGTGAAGTTTTTCTCCAAATAGTTCCGGATATTCTCTGCAACATTTCCGAAGGTACCAAACCGATTGGAAACCCATTTTTCAAGTAACAGTTTTTTGAAGATAAGCTTAACGTTTTTCTATAGGCTCTTCTCAGAATTAAGGCTTGATTTAAAATGGTGATCTGAAGATGCAAAATGGCAGTTTTGGTCATGAGGACCGTTTCTGGAAATTTTCATCTAAATCAAAAAATTCTAAAATTAATGGATTTGTGGATTCATCTGGAATCGCATATGAGCATGGATTACTTACAAATGTTGGTAAATGTTTGGTGAAATGTTCTTATGAATTAAATATTTTCAATTTTTTCTATTAAACTTTCACATAGATGGATCATTGAGTATAGAATAAGGGTGCTACTACTAGTTTCATTTCTAAATTTGGTCAATCAAATCCATTTATTAGAAAATCAGTCATGATTCTTCAGAGTAAATTTTGAAAAATGTTGTAACTTTGGGTGAACTTTAACCTTTGAAGTAAGCTCCATTCAATACCTTTCAAATGGCCTAAAACGAACGAAAATTGAGCGTAAAATGACAGGGATATGAACATTTGCATGTTTTTTTTTAAGGTGACCCCAAACACTATATCACGGAATATAGGCTGTCGTGTGAACAAGTCTTTTTATTTCTCAAAGAGTCCTTTTTTAAGACACCTTTTTACACTAAATTAAGCACATCTGTCGAGTATTTAGGAAACGTTTTCTGGGTTCATTTCCATCTACATAAAACCCTTATCCCGGTTATATTATCCTCCTCAGTTATTGGTGACAGTAATTCTGTCATAACTACCCAATAAAATTCACCAGAATTTATGCACCTTTCATGGTGTTGTTCCTAGCCTGCTTTAATCCCACCATCAAACGCCAAGTGCCTCTAATCCATAACATGAAAGAAATATAATCCAACACTTCCCTAGTTCCATCTTTCCACTTTTATCACATAACGCTCATTTGTAGAATTTAGGACCCTGAGAAAAAACGACATCATTAAACAATGAAGAGATAGAACGCTATGGCTACCGTCTTTTATTTTTTTGATATCGTAATTACGCTCATCGTGGGAAATGATGGCCGCGAAAATAGTCTGTCGGTTGGGAAATAAATTATTTCATTCCTTTATTTGTCTCCCTGCAGATCTATTGCCTGCTGTGCGTGATATCGCAATACCAGGAGTACAAAGCAGGTCGGGGAGCCGCCGAGGACGATTCCTACACCAGTGTGAGTATTATTCAACTTTTTCTTTTTCTTTTTCTTTGCTTATAATGTACAATGAAGTAAGCTTAATAATCGACGAGTAAAACAAGCCAATTAAAATCTGACTGCAAACATACGTTAATTGGAAATTTAGATGCTACGATGGAATAATTTTGGTTCTAATTATGTTTTCACCGTCCTCTAACATAAGCCAATTGCCTACTAATGATGAATGAGGGGTGAGATTAATTTTGTCAATACTGTTGGATTGAGCTGTAGAACAAATTACAGCGGAAATGTCTCTAGAGACAACGCAAGTAACCACCCAGCCCGTTAATAGCCCGATAAAGGCCCTTTTTGAAATAAACGGCTGATATACGGCTTTCAATTTTTATATTAGCCTTATATCAGCACTATTTGCACTAGCGCGATTGATGGACGCTCCAACCACGTATTCGACCGCACTTTGTCGACAAACGTTAGCTCCAACTGACTGATCCCATGCAACTCCTTCGGCTTCCACGCTGTGACTTTGTTTTCAACAGTTTGCAGGTCACAGTTCAGCTGATCTGCCTCACAAACAGCACGGTAGACTTCGTGAGAATTCTAACTTTCTACGAAGTAAATTCGCAACCGGAAAACGGATAGCTTGGGGATGGCCCCGGCGTAATGTTTACCATCTATACTTCTCAGGCCAAAGTCACGAGCTTAAATCTCATCCCCGGACAAATCACGAATGACCCAAGACGGTTAATGTGACTCTAATTAAAAATTAAAAAAAAGTGCTTGTAGGGGAAATGACGGCTTTTGCAACCTCAAATTCGGCCATTCGATGTTCTGAAACATGGTGTATAGCATCTTGAAAAAATGACGAAGCATTTTTGACGAAGTACATATTTTTGACACATCTCACCTCCCTCCATTCACAAATGCTAAGTTTTGCTAGCTATCTCCTCATCCCTTCAGTAGCTCCTATCCAAGTTTACCAGCTATCAATCGAAATTAGAGCAGGTACCTTTGAATTTATCCAGAAAATCCCATCAGAAAACTCTGCAATTGTAAGACATTACAAAACACAAATTTACGATTCTGCAAACTTTCTGCCGCTCTGAACTTCTATTCAAGTAAAAAATATCTTCGATCGTTACAATTGACATAACGACGCATTAACAATTACACGCCTGGAATGCCAAGCTGCCCCACCGAATTATCAAAATACCCATCTGTGACAATGCAATTATCCATTATACAATATTAGGACATTCATATCATTTGTGTTCACACACACAGGCAATAAAATTCCAACTAACCGCTTTGCCATTTAGCCACACCCACCTACTAGACAAAAACAATCTTCTTCCAGCTAACACCGTACTTCACACAATTTACTGTTTTATGCTCTAATTAGTTAGGATTTCAGCGAATTGCTCTCAATAATCATCAATTTTTCGGTTCCTTTCTCGACTTTCCGCCATTCTCTCCCGCAGTCCGTTAACATCCAGTACAGTCCACCGGCAGCCACTTGCCTTCCCCCGGGGAAATCAATACTCAACCCAGTGATGTGTCCGCATACCAACTGTACCCTGATACCGGAGGAGACGCACGCCAACGGGGTTCTCCTGGGAGGTGAGTTATCCAAACAGCACAGCGATCTTTATTTGCTATGATTTTCCGTAAACAGAGTTGAACTAGAAACACGATCCTAACAACCATTCGTTTTCTCTTTCACACACACACACACACACACACATACATCAGGTACGGTGATTAAATCTTCTGCGGCCTTTAGTAGGCAGAACTCGCTGCTGCTGAAAAAGCACGTCAAATTCAATCCCACGGAGAAGGCCAAAGTTTGCTGCAGCGGTGTCATACATCCGGAAAATGTGATGCCGATGGAGGGAGGGAAAACCAACGGACATATGATGTCAATTGAAACGCTTCCTGGTAAGTTATTTGTGGAGATGCATCGGATATTCGGTTGAGAGGTGATAGTGTGAGTTGACATGTGGCATAAAATGTATAGAGTAGCTGAACCAGTTATGGCTATACGTTCCTATTATGGTGTGTTCCAATTATGGTCTACCGATATAATTGGAACACTCCATAAAAGGAACGTTGAGTAGTTCCAGGCCAAATAGGAAACAAAAAAGGAATTTTATACTCGACTTTTGTTTCTTTCATACAACGTAGTTTAACGCATCATTTATGTAACGCTATCGGCACGAAACGAAAATGAAAAAGAAGCACGATTACACGGTTAGAAAAAAGTACCCAAAATTAAGTTCTTTTCACTCATCTCGGCACTATAGTGCAGGAACCCAAAAGTAGGTAAAGCGGGTCAAAGTAATTTTCATTTACTTATGTGCAGTTCGTATGGAATTTTCCACTGGCTTTTTAACCAAAAGTATGTTAGTTGTACCCAACAGTAGGTAAATATGATTATACTCAACGTTGGGTTCCCACACTTTACTACGGTTGGGTGGTTTTGCTCCTCCGTTTTTGACAACATTAGAAGGAGAAAAGGAGACAAACTAGTCAAAAGTAGGTAAAAGTTAACTTTCCGTCGGGTACTTTTTTCTTACCGTGTAGAATGGAAGGCTGACTGTGGATTTTCTCTTCGTTGTTTTGCTTACCATAACCAGATAAATTAACCACATTAGGGTTTTTGATCTAATTTCCGTCCTGCTAAGCACAACCCATGCTTTACCTCTCTTTTCTAAACGAGTTTAAACAACAAGAATGGAATATTTCTGTCAAAGATAACTTCTAAATTTATTCACCTTTCCATACGAACCGTTAGATTTGATAAAGAGTCACAAATTGTTGAGATATTTTTTAAAATCTAATACTGCTTCCAGATTCTAAATTCATTCTACGAGTTTAAATTCCATCCTAACGCATTGAAACGCCATTAGATTGTCTTCGTCCTATGTTTTGAGAACAATGATTGTAAATATTCATACAGTGCACAGCAAAAAAATAATTTTGATTTCACGTCAAAGTGGATGCACTACAATCATGTCGAAAATATGGTGTAATATTACTTGCTAAAAAGGACAAAATTATCATTAATACAATGCATGAACTGACATTACGCTGCTTTTACTGCATTTGTTTATTTATGTGGTCATAAAAATTACATGAAATTTTCGACATGATTGTAGTGCATCCACTTTGATGTGATATCAAAATTATTTTTTTGCTGTGTGCGCTCTAATAGAATTTATGTTGTAGCTAATGAACAAACGCATCGAAACAAACCTATTATTGATTTGTGCATGGTGAAATCATTGATATTATTGATCTTTTCTGATCGATAGAAAGGAAATGGGCGATTACGATGAAGTAGTGCTCTACCCTACTTGTAATCTACAAGTGTTTTCACGTTAGAAATGCTTTAAATATTTATTTACGTTTTCCATCATATGCGTCATGAAACCTCAGTGATGTACGATGAAACCATGAAAGTCGAATGCTCTTTCACTCGTCCGCGTCACCAAAGCTTGAAAGAAAGACGAATGATTCCACGGAAGACAGAGAGACAATCGATTGAATATGTGTTTGTAGACACCGACCGAGATACTACAATGCTGCGAAGCTGCTCGATTTCAACAGAAAAAGAAAGCAGGCTCTTCGTCGCATCGATTTCATCGATTGAAGCTGGTATTGTGACGCCCTGCGTCTAACTGTAAACTGTAAACAATGAAAGCGATAAAAACAAACGAAGAGAAGAGGATTTTGGGAGGGCGCAAAATGATCCGCAGATAGGGTAGACCTTCCAGTCATTGTTATACGTTCCTATTCCCGAGCAGGAAAAAATAACTTATTAATACCAAATTCAGGTATGAAAATAGCATAACTGGCAACCTAATTACAGTATTAGTGAGGCTGACATAAGAGGTAAAATACCAATAATAATACCTCAGAAATGTTCTACGAATAACAAACAAATAAATAATTTAGTTAATACAATAACAGACAGATAACAGACGCTTCCCGAGCAGGAGAAAATAACTAATGAATACCTAATTCTGATCTTATACCTAAATTTGGTATTGACCAGCATGACATAAGAGGTAAAATATCAAAGAATAATACCGAAAAATTACATGCAAAACACTTTGAAAATAACAAAATTTGATATTTGGATACCAAAAGAATACCTGTGTGGTATTGCATTATCATAATTTGGTATTGGAATGGTATTGTTGGAACATTTTCTTATGTCTGGCTCATTCATACCAATTTAAGGTATCGAGATATTCGTTCCTGCTCGGGTTTTTTAGATGCCAGAATACCATAGTTTGTTATTTTTAAGGTCTTTTAATACCAATAAAATAACTCTTTTAGGTGTTATTGTCTAAAAACTGAGAGATCACAATTTGTGTTGCTATCGATTAGCTATTGGTTTCTGCTCGGGTTGTGGTGTGTTATAATAATCGCGTATGAGAATGCCATAGGCCATAATTGGAAAACACCTTAATAGAAAAGGATAGCCACAAATCTACCCTAAGTGGAAAATTCTGCTACGTGCCACCTACGAACGATCCCAGTGACACATCAACTGTTTCGAAAACCTGAAGGAGTGGAAACTGCTGACGTGTGACCTTCTGTGATTAGCGAGAAAGATTGCATTCGAGCAAATATTAGGATTAGAAATGCCTAAAAAAATGGCGTATTCAAAATTATTTATCACACTTAGTTTTTTTCTACCGAGCTCGGCTGTGCAAATCTCGGCAAAAAAGTTGTACTGAGATCTCAGCAAACATTTCATTTGTTTTCTGATATTCAACATAAACGATAAACATTATCCGAGACTCTGCAATCAAATGTCACTTTTGCTGACATCTCAGTGAAACTTTTTTTGCTGAGATTTGCACAGCCGAGCTCGGTAGAAAAAAACAAGTGTGAACAAATCATAACTCAATAACGTCATCACCAATCGCAATAAAGTCTGAGGCAAAGATATAGGGAACAATATTTTCATTTCAGGAAAAATATACACTGTAAAAAATCATGTACTTAGGGTAAATCCAATTTTTTTTTAAAGCATGCATAATAAACCACCACAATATTTTTTCGAAAAAATTATCAACTAAACAAAAAATCCTAGAAAAACATCTTTTGGTCAAACTTTTAAACTTTTTGTTAACACAATTTCTCGGGATGTTTTGCACAGCAAACTATTTTTTAAACTTTCAAAATGGTTTCCTAAGAAAAATTTGAAAAAATGTATAACCGGAAAGTTAATCTTTTTTTTACAAAACCACCTGTGATTTTTGTTATTGTTTGATTTGCTAAACTTTCATAAAAGTTTACATGTTTTATAAGCTTTTTAATTTTAAAATATTGAACAGGCTCATTTTTCGTTATTTAAGTTATAAACAGTTTTTCGGCAGTTTTTCCTAAAAATTACTAGAATGTTTACCGTGTTTATTTTTCCTAAAGAGAAAATATTTGTATCAAACGCTATTTCTATTGGAAGCGACGTTTTCAAGTTATGACTAGTTGAAAAATATTCAATTCCTATTCTGGATTATATTTATTTGCATGATTCAAAATGGCTGAACTGTGAATGATAAACCATAAAGAACAATTATGCAAAGTTTTACAGTCCGCATCGTGCTCTATTGCCTTGTGAATCTATTTGCTTTTTGCTTAAGTAAGTTTTACTGCTGCTGAAGCTACAACAAATTTAAACAGCACTCAATATTACCTACACATTTCTACCTTCACGGTGTGTTAACTTTATTTTTGAAAAATCTGCAAGTCTAATATGCACGTAGAGGCCTCCCACACTTGGATCCTACCTATCAACCTATGAACTTATGAACCGGGGACCAACGGTTTTTACTTCCCTTCCGAAGGAAGGCGTGATCAGAGATGTTATGCCTCAGAACATTCCGGTGGCGCCGACTGGGATTGAACCCAGGCCTGCTGGAGTGAGAGGTAATCACGCTCATCATTACACCACCGGCGCCGCTCTAAAAGAGGGGGTTAGTCTTGGGAAACAGGGGAGGCGGTAGGTTGCCTTTTCCTGCTGAAATATTACAAATGTTATTATCTTTTATTTGCAGGGAATAACTTTAGTGTGCAATTTAGCCACAGGTACACAGCAAAAAAATAATTTAGATATCACATCAAAGTGGATGCACTACAATCATGTCGAAAATTTCATGTAATTTTTATGACCACATAAATAAACAAATGCAGTAAAAGCAGCGTAAAGGGTGATACGGTCAAAATTTGGTCAATATCAACTTGACGTATTTCTTTCAATTTTGCATTTAAAAAACCTGAACACCCCTTATTTTGAAGGTGTGTGTGTGTAGAATGTTGCTCCTATTTTGATTTTGGATTTCACTCTTCAGTTGTCAAAATGCCGTCCAAGCAAGAAGAGCAGCGTATCAAAATTTTGCTCGCGCACCGCGAAAATCCGAGCTACTCGCACGCAAAGTTGGCAAAATCGCTAAAAGTTGCCAAATCAACCGTTACAAATGTAATTAAAGTGTTTGGGGAACGTTTGTCGACAGCCAGGAAGTCTGGATCGGGGGGAAATCGAAAACCAGAAGCCGCTGAGATGACAAAGAGAGTTGCCGGTAGTTTCAAGCGAAACCCTAACCTCTCTCTCCGAGATGCCGCAAATAAGCTGGGTGTATCGTCTACAACCGTGCATCGAGCCAAAAAACGAGCCGGACTATCGACTTATAAGAAGGTAGTGACTCCAAATCGCGATGATAAACAAAATACGACGGCCAAAGCGCGATCCCGGAGGCTGTACACGACGATGCTGACGAAGTTTGACTGCGTGGTAATGGACGACGAAACCTACGTCAAAGCCGACTACAAGCAGCTTCCGGGACAGGAGTTTTATACGGCAAAAGGAAGGGGAAAGGTAGCAGATGTTTTCAAGCACATGAAACTGTCAAAGTTCCGAGGGGGGT